TTCCTTACGAGTCTCACATAATATTGTAGGCGAAAGGATTAATTATATTTTGTGGGAAGGAGAGCCAGCTAATCTAACCTAACCTGCAATTTCAACTTGCTGAAGGCAGCCACATTCCTGGTTGGAAATCGACGCATGCGCACTAAAAATTGGAGATCACATAAAAAGTTCAGTGTCCATATTGTATGTATTTATACTGTGACCGTAGCCAGAGCCATAAGGTTTCTATGGGCGCGCGAAATCATTGTAGTGCAATCAAAAAGGCGCGCAAGGTGAATAGTGAAATGAGTAACGAAAATTAAAAGCGTTCGAACTTTTGCAAATGTAGTTTCAAATTGCGGGTTTCTCCTTTGCTGTATTTACGACGTTAGTGCCAGAACCGGCTAATGATCGAAAGCAATATAAACTAACGTCTTATATTTCTCTCTCGAAGCAGAATTAAGCAAAACAAACCGACTAATGATTATGTAGGTTATATACCTGTTGCGATAATTGTACAAATTGTACGTGTCTAATGCGTCACTCGCAATATTTGAGTCAATCGAGTTTTAAGTATATATATTGTTATTTTCATGTTTTTAGATTAGTCAATTAGATTGAAATTTTGTTTTGTCTAAAATGGATTCATCTTCACGCGAATCATCAGTGGAATTGGAAATTGTAGAGGATGAGTTGCTCGACGAAGTGTTGTGTATGAACAATAAAGAAATTGTCGAATCGAAGCAAAATGACACAAAGAAGGAGGACGGTGTAGAGAACAATCCTTGGTACGAGGATGAAGAAGACACAGACGTTTACAAGAAGAACTATGAAAATTCGAATGCACGATGTGTTGATGTCCGAACGGAATCTGAAGAGGGACTAAACAATATCAAATGCACAGAACACAAAGATAATATGAACAAACCAAATAAATTGCATACTTGGCGCAAGAGGACGAGACAAGACAATGTGGATCATGAGCATACTAAGATTTCTCGTAACAGACGCTACTCCAGTGACTCTAGTACAACCACTAATTCATCAGAAAATGATAAAAGACATGTAGAGTATGAGACAGATCCAGTTGTGCTAGCACGTAGACAAAAAGAAATTGATTATGGGAAAAACACTAATGGATATGACAGATATATTAAATTGGTTCCAAAGTAAGTCATAAGATTAATATGGTAAAGGTTCTGTTTGCATATATATTTAATAAAAATCGTTTTTTCAGAGAGAAACGTACGCGAGAGCATCCAAGGACACCACCAAAATATATAAAATATAGTAGAAGGGGTTGGGATGGTATGATGAGGTTGTGGCGGAAGCAACTTCATTTTTGGGATCCTCCTCAGGAGAATGACAAGGTTGACATAATAGACTAAAGTCATTTTGTCATTCCGTTTATAATACTGCCAATATTATTTTCTTTAATTTATATTGCAATCATGTTATTTTAATGCCTTTATTGCGTATCACTTCTAGTTTTTGAAACAATTTTATAATATATAACTAATATAATATAAGAAATATAACAAGTGATATTTCTGTTCTTATTTATGTAATTTCATAATCGTTTTTAAAAAGTTTAGTTACATAAATGACTGTATAAATAAAATAACATTAATATATATATGTATTAAACTCTCTTAAGACAGGGTTTGTAATTTTCTACTATTTAGACAAGTTAATCCTAGCTATACACACTGCGCGGTTCCAGAAACCCCAATGCAATTTGCTAAATCGAGATTTTTTCTGAATTTTTCTTTTTCTTTAAACCTATATATTTTGAAATTACTTAATTCTATCGATTTTTACACATCATGGACTTATTTCTTAATTAATTCTTCATCTATTGAAAAAAAATAAATTAATTGAAATACATCCATTTTTACAGAAGTTATGGTAATAAATACAGACTCAAGTGTGTATATTAAGGAAAAAAAAGTATAGCTAGGATTAAAATATATTAAATTTAAGTGAATTAAAAATTATTTAAATTAATAAATTATTTAATAAATTTGAAAATGGTAATGTGCAATTTTTTGTATGTGATTTTGATACAAAATTTGAAAATGGTATACTATCATACATGATAAATGAATACAAATTTATTCTAAGATTACATAAAAATAATAAAAGAAACTTTATATTTTTGTTAAAATGAGCCAGATCTTTTGATTAACACAAAAGCAAAAAAATATATTCAACAAATTATTCACTATTTACATTCTTAAGTTACACTAAATATCTGATAACTTAAATTTTTTTCTTTTATTAAATGTGTGTTTTAATTCAATCTCTATTTACTTTCAAAATATTCGGAAATAAATTGTATCAAATGCTACCAGATCCATGCTCTCTTATATTATAATAAAGAATATATTAAAATAAGAAATTAATAACTAAAAAATACATTTACTGTACATTCAACCGTGATTCTAGTCTTTCCAAAATAGCATCCAGTTTCTGATTAGTATTTGCTTCCATCTCTTCTATTCTTTCTATCAATCTCTTTTCCATATCATGGAATTTATTGTCGATATAGATTCTAATATCTATATCGGATTTCTTATTATCTTCTCGGTTTGTACAATTTTCGTCGCTATTTCTTATATTTCCGTTTTTACATTCAAAAGAATTCAATTGTTCATGATCAGCCTCGCAATTTCGACATTCTTTTCCATTATCTCTTTTTGAAATTTCATTTTTCCATTTGAAATGATCCGGACCTGATGTAAGAGTTTCCAAAATTTTCTGCTTAAATTGCTCGTTATTATCGCGGTTATCATAAAATTCAAATATTCTTGTTATATCAGGTTGTTGACTTATTTTACCGAGAAATATATTATTGAGACATGTCTGGATAAAATCTTTATCATTGACAATGTCGGATTTTGTCTCTTTTATAGACTCTGTCTTATTATCAATGCAGGTTTTAATATCTGATCTTTCATAATTCTCTTCATAATTTGGATATTCCGTTTTACTATTTCTTCTTTCAATTCTATTTTTACATTCGGTAGCATTTGACTGCTCATAATTATCTTCACAATTTGAAAATTGTTTTTTATTATCGCTCCTTCCAATTTTATTTATATACTCGTCATATTTTGAGCCTGCAAATGTTTCCAAAAGTTTCTCTTTATATTTCCTCATACTTTCCTGTTTATCGTCAAATACTCTCTTTGCCATCTCAGACTCTTGACTCATTTTGCCATTGCTAGCGTTACTGAGAAAAGTTTGTATGATATCATAGTCAAAGGCACTAGATGTTGCCTCTTTTGTAGAGTCTGTCAAAAACAGTCTTATACCATATATCCACATAAGAGGGCCTTTATTTTTTGTTCTAATAAACTAGAAAGTAAACATTATTAAATATTTAATTATGACGATCATTTATAGTTAAAGATAATCCAAACGTGAGTTAAAATGTTTTGTTTTTCAATGTTTACTTAACAATGTACATTTATTTAGTATTGGCTCTTATAGGCATTTACTTGTACTTGATTTAAATTTTATTACATTAAATGTAAAATAAAAGTATCCACGTAAACAACAGCCAGCTTACCTTAATACTAACTTCTGTAGTAGGAGGGTGTATCATAGTTTCGCCAAGGAAAACTATATTTTCCTCGTACTCATCTATGAACTCTGCGTGTATCGTTGTTTCATATTCTCCAAATTGTTTGAAGATTTCTAGGATGTTACCTTCAGAAATAATAGCAATGCGTGCTATCTTCTGACAATTTGATACTTTAATATTCAACATACATGGTTCTGTATTAGAACCCATTGGTTGTAAAGCAATGCAAGTATCCACAGAAGCTACGTCTTCGCAGTTTATTCTGCAAATGTTTATTATTATTTTAATATCATTAAATTAGTTATTAACTTAAAGTTGTAATCAAGTCACTTACCTCGCAGATGAGTACTGCATTGATGACGCAATGGTGACGGCATCAACAAATTGCTTATTATTGTTGATCTGCCAGTTGCATGAGATTGACAGGAGACTATCACGGTGCTTTATAGATAGTGATGCATGCAACTCGCCGGCGTTTTCGGTATTCATTATCTCCATAATTCTAGTATAATAGACGGTCACCTTTTTGCAAATAAAGCATATACCACAATTACACTTTGCAGTCTCATAAATCTGTCTGCGATTATCCGCATTCTTTTAGGCGATGTCCATTCTACTGTCATATGCGTTACACATGATCACGCATGATGACATGATCCTCCTTGAACTGTTTTAAAGGAGCAGAAATTGAAAGAGTATTCTGTTTCTGAATAAATGATTTTATTTATATCGACTGTGCTCGAACAGAAATTGATGTCACTGTATACTACATCGTCGACAGTTCGAAATTTTTGAACTATTTCTGTAATTACCGACTAACTTCAAACTCTATATGACTGTATACCAATTGAAACCAATACAAACGTCAAGATGAAAAGGAGTACGTGAGAATTATAGGCATAAGTATGTAGAGTGCGTTCCATCATCGACTATCATCGATGAGAAATGAGGTTTCTATTTTTTACTCCCTGCACTCTGAACTGGATGGCCTGTTGCAAGTCTGTTCAAAAGTTATTCTTTATATTGCGGTTTTCTCAATATTTTAATTGTAATTTGGATTTTTTTTTGTATTTTCCTTTTCAAAAGTCCTCCGGAAAATCTTCTAAATTTTTGTACTCTCAAAAAATCTCCCGTAAAAAATCTCCAAATCTGATAGAAATTCTACTAAATTCAAAATTAGCAACACCAGGTGCACGAGGTGCAAAAAATTGAAGTCCAGAGAATGGAATAAAGAACAGACTTGCTATTAAATAATAATTTTTTTGAATAATCTAATATCGTGTACGAACAACGTATAACATTATTGTTAATGTATTATTGTATTATTGTAAATGTTATTATAATGTAAAATATCTATTACATGTTTTGAAATATGATATCGGCTTACCGGCCTAGTAAGCTTTATCCCTACTCCTCAAATAATCGGGAAGAATAGGGGGGAAGGGACTTGACTGAACAGCTGAACAAAGGTATTGAATCGAATCGAATTGTGTTCGCTGTGCGCTTCTCTCGCAATTATCTAAGTTTCGCGATCAGAAAAGATGTCGAAATATAGGATCGTTATGGTTCGTCACGGCGAGAGCGAGTGGAATAAGTTGAACCTTTTCTGCGGGTGGTATGACGCCAATCTGTCGGACAAGGGTGCGTAAATGTCGCCCGGCATAAATGTGTTCGTCCAATTCGCCGTTTTCAAGGGCGAAAGGTCGTGTGATTCCACACGAATCTTTCGAGTCTCTCTTCTGAATGACATTATTGATGTACATTACTGCAGTCATATATCTTAAATCATATTAAATCATGTTAAAACTTGATATAATATCGGATAATAAAAATCTTTCATTCATTATAAATATTGGGTCATCTAAAAAGTATCCGCGGTTTTTTGTCACTAGATGGTCCAATATTTTAATTTTGATAAATTGTATTGTGTGCATTTGTATACACTAATATAAATATTTTAACATTTGACATCTTAAACGATTAGATTAAAATTGGATTTAAAAATTTTATTAAATCTTTGTGATACTCAAATTATTCTTCATAAATGAACGAAGATGATGTATCATATCAATGTCATCTACGAGTTTAATATAAATACAAAAATTTTTATTGATTGAATGAATTTATAGAGATCTCAATATAATTAAAGAATATAGTTTATTGATTGCATGGGTACTGATTTAGATGTTCAAAGAACTATACATTGGATTATTACAAAGCATTAAGTTCAATTTTACATAAAAAATTAAAAATTAAATTAAAAATTATTTGTATATCGGAAATCTTGTAGGCAAGAATGAGGCTGTATCTGCAGGAAAGGCTATCAAGGATGCAGGCTATACATTCGATATAGCTCATACATCGGTACTCACAAGAGCACAGGAGACTCTCAAATCGATCCTAAAGGAAATTGGTCAAGAAAATCTACCTGTTCATAAGACGTGGCGTTTGAATGAACGACATTATGGTGGTCTTACTGGTATGAACAAAGCAGAAACTGCTGCCAAATATGGAGAGGAACAGGTACAGATCTGGCGGAGATCATTTGATGTACCACCACCGCCAATGGAATCTGATCACAAATATTATGACACGATAGTGAAAGATGCGCGTTATGCCGATGGGCCAAAGCCGGACGAATTTCCGAAGTTTGAATCCCTCAAATTGACCATCGAGAGGACATTACCTTACTGGAACGATACAATTATTCCACAGTTGAAAGAGGGCAAGAAGATCATTATAGCTGCTCATGGAAACAGTTTACGTGGCATAGTAAAACATTTGGATGGTAAGACACTTTGCTTTATTATTTCATTTATTTTGTTATTATAATAATTTATGAAATATGTATAAATCTATTTTTTTTTTAGAAATGAGCAATGAGCAAATTATGGGACTGAATCTGCCGACCGGTATCCCGTTTGTATACGAATTGGATGAGAATTTCAAGCCTGTCATTTCTATGAAGTTCCTGGGTGATGAAGAGACAGTTAAGGCTGCGATGGCCGCAGTTGCCGCGCAAGGAAAAGCCAAATAAATTAATAATAATAATAATAAAAACCGTCTAATGTGTGTCGATGTTCGAAAAGCAAAAATCTGTTATACTCGTATATCAGTTTAAAAAAATATTTATGAACCTCTAGTTTCGTTATACTACGAGAGAATATAATTCAAGAGAGACGATGGAATTCTTGCTTGAATTAACAAGCATTCCTCGTATGTAAACTAAAAAAATATATATAATATATGTATATATCATAGAATGTCTGAAAATACGTGATTCCTTTCAATCTATATCTATGGATGCGTTTCACTTGATGCTCGCAACGCTTACGGAATTATTTCATCCTTTTTGTTTATCGAATATTAAACAAGATCAAATAATGCTTGCGAACGTTGAGTGTCAAATAAAACGCATCTTATGTATTACATACGCTGTATTTAAAAAAAGTATATGTAGTACCACTTAAGTCCAATTTTTCATTCTCTGGTTTAGTGATTTAATCATAATTAGAAAAACACGATTTTTATATTTTCAAATTAAGTAAGATTAAATCACAATCAGAAAATGAAAAATCATCATAAAAACTTAAATCGAGTACTTTGATAAAGTTTTTTTTTAGAGAAAGAATTCTAAGTAAAATCCTCGTTTTATTAATCAAAGTATTTAGATTCATTATTTAAAACAGCACACTCTGTACAAAATACATTTACTGAATATTATATTTAGTAGTGATAGAATGTTATAAGAGATCAGCAACATTTTTTATTTATTTCTCTTACATTTGTGATGTAATAAAATAAAACCATATTTATTTCTTACACATCTTTTATTATATAATCAACATGTCAAAGATATACAGTTTGCATAAAAGATATAGGCTGGGTTGTTCCACCTTTTAGTAAACTTCATCGTATTCTTATAAAATATTTCATAAAAGAAATATTCCTTTCTTTTCTACACGTGAGGGAGAGAGAAAGAGAAGCAAAGTCTGAAATGATTTGAAGTATTTGAATTCTGAAGCCAAAGCCCGTGCGTTCCGTTTCATGTACGATGTGCATGATATATCATTTCATCCTTCTTTAACATTCTGTAAACAACAAGGAGATCATATAATTGAGTTCAAAGTATCCATGTGCAATACCTTGTTTGATTCCGCCATGATCAGTATCGTTCAATGCTGTTCAGTTGCGTTCAGTGTGTTTCGGAACGTCAATCGGTCAATTTAGAGTGGCTTTTTATCATAACCTTGTATATGTATTCATGTACATTACATGATACTCTGAGAACAAAACTCTTTTGAGGAGGAAGAGCAACCGATTGAAGTCAAATATGAGTCGCGTGGATTTAAAAGTCGTATTACTGGGTAACGCGATGGTGGGAAAGACGAGTCTCATGGAAAGATATGTACACGACTCGTTTAACGGCAATAGACCCTATCAGAATGTAAGTATTTACTTGATTATATGCGTGTGTACGAGGGTGCGTTCACGCAATTGTAGGTCTTCGCACTTAGTCATAATATTTAATTAAGAAGAAAACATTTTTTTTACACGCGTTTCTATCACGTTTTCCAAATTAATAAAATAATCCAATTATTTTATTTCTCAAAAGAACAGAAAGAATGTGAAGATTAATAAAGGGCACACCTAATAGCGTTAATACTCCCTCTTGTACATACTACTTGAAAAAGACGATTCAACAAAGGCGATTGTTGAGAAACAAAGGAAAGAGAAAAGACGTAGTTTTCCTTAGAATTCTTTAAAATCCTCCCCGACAGCAGGACTATTCCTTTTAGCTGAACTTGGCAGTTTTAATTTCGTGCGTTTAAAATTAAATATATCGATGACTATAATTATATATTTGTTCATGTTGAAATCCCAAAATTTTTTACATTTAATGACATGAATACATTCGGGCGTTAAAGAGACATATAGCAAAAATAATGATTGCAGAAAATGCAAGCAATGTAAATAAACCTAATGTGAAAGAAGTACACAATTTAGTATACATTTGTGAGCGTTTCAATTAATTTATAATTATAATATTTCGTTTTAAGTTTAATTCACATACATAAAAATTTTCAAAAAAATTAGTTTTTAAAAGTATTATAATTGTAATTCATTATAGTTATAACTTTTCACCAGTGATATTCAATGCTGATACAATCCTAGTGAAAATTTTTCTCAGAATTTTCATATAATTTTTTAGAATTTCTCTATAAATTTATAACTTTCTCACATTTTTTTATACGAATTGAAACATTTCTCAGAAAATCTACATCTTTTCTCAGAATTTTTCATATATGTTAATTATGAAATATCGTAAGATTTTTAAGATTTTTTGTATAATTTCTGATGAAATATTACAAAATTTAAAGAATTTAAAAATACTTTTAAAAATTATGAGATGAAAAATTTAAAAATATTTCAGAATTCACTTGTATGAGAAATTCTGAGAGAAGATGTAAATTTTCCGAATATTTCTGAGTATTTCTGAAAAATGTTCCAATTCGTATAAAAATTATGAGAACAATTTTCACTAGGGAGTCGTTACAGAAATTAAAGAAAAAATAAGAAACGAATTGCTAACAGATATTTTGTAAAAGAAATGCAGCTAAAAAGAATGGGCTTAGTCAATTTGCGAGCACTAATATAGTACATCTTGTTTCTCTTAGTCCGCGACATTGTGGAAAGAAAATTATAAAATAACATTGTATTAAAGTTTGCACTGAGAATCGTCTAAATGGAAGGGAGGGCGTCATACCAATTAATCCAGTTGAAATTATGCCGCAGACAATAGGCACTGTGTTTGCAGCGAAGCGAGTGCAAGTGAACGATGTGACACTTATTATGGGAATATGGGATACTGCAGGCAGTGAGAAGTAAGTATATAAAATTACTACATCATGTGCCCAACTCGAAATTTTGACGTTAAAATTGGTGCTTTTTTTTTTAGGAGATACAGTAGACACAAATGTTCTATTCTTCTTGACATTTAATGAATAACAGATAAAACGAAATTTATATCGACTGTATCTCCTAAAAAGAAAGCAGCTACAGTGTAACATAATGATTATTTCTTTGTTTAACATTGGCAAACAAGGATATAATGATTCATTGTGTTAACTGTATCTGTCTCTTGCTGGAAAGCACCCAATATAGAATAACCCAATATAGAATAATAATAAATTCGGTTACACTCACTACATTAAATTAGTGCACATTACAAACTGCTTTATGTAAAATAAAAATGACATAAAAAATATAATCAATTTTAACAATGAAATAATATGTATATATTCCATCAAATAACGTGACAATATCATTTTTAAGTACTTTAATCATTGAAAATATTTACATACTTTTACATTTAACTTTGCTAATTTTAAGCATAACAGTTTTTAGTATAAACTAATCTAATGTAATGCAAGTGATCGAATTCGTTATAATATAGCATCAATAGCTGTTATCATTAATTATTAGGTATGACGCAATGACTAGAACGTATTATCGTGGTGCCAAAGCTGCCATAGTGTGTTATGATATTACAAAATCGAGTACGTTCCAAAGAGCAAAGCATTGGGTAAGAGAACTTAGAAGCATTGAAGAGAATTGTAAAGTATATCTTTGTGCCACCAAGAAGGATTTGTGCGATGAAGGTTTTGTATCAGACGATCCAGATATACAAAGTGTTGTAGAGAGGTATGCGAGTGGTACACAGACCAAACTTTTCGTAACGTCTAGTAAAACGGGAGAGAACGTAGGTAAGAAAGTATTACATTTAATAAACGTTTTATTTTATTTACAAAATGTATATTTATTATATCTGTTCTTTATAGCCGAATTGTTCGATGAAATTATACAAGATTTCGTATCCAATCCTGAAAATTTGCAAAAGGTAGAAGAAGCAATTGTTCTAAGCAAAAAAACTGGGGAAAGGTATTGTTGCGCAATCTAATATAATCAGTATTTGTACTTATTGTATTCTTTTATGTTTTTTTATACTAGATAATTTATCTCTAATATTATGATAAACATAATGAAATAGATTCTAATGTATTGTTAATGACCAGTGTGATATTATTTTGTTTATTAGTAAAAGCTCAGAATTTTATATATGCAATGTTGTTAGCACAACACAACTTCGCAAAAATTAGATATTTAAAAATTAGATTAGATATTTTAGCAAATAGCAGATTAAAAAAAAATATATGAAATGTGCATGTACAATTTTGTATACTTGAAAAATTATGCGATAAGCAGTTTAAAATTTTAAATATGTGATTCTTGATCATTTAGCTCTTTTTTTCATATTTTGGTAAAATGAATAAAATTTGTTCATAATCACATGAATGCGATTATGAATTGCGATTGATAAGATTCAGTGATAGAATTATATTCCTGAATGTATACGAAATGTAGATTTTTTATTTTCATGATAAATTTCAAAAATTTTATACTTATTATTACATAGAAATTTGAAAAATGTTTTACTTCAAAATTCCTTGACAGGCTGAAAATAGATAAACGGGAATTTTTCAGTCCTAATTTTGTTACAGTAAAATATTAGAAATGAATAAACTAAAAAAAAAATTTTTTAATTCAATCAAATTTATTATTACCTTTTGGAATTAATCCCAGTAGAACATTACTGATTGTGAGTGAGAAAACTCATTTACTGGTCTAATGTGGTATCTAATTCACATAACTTTTTTATAATTTGTTCACTTAACTAAGGCTTCACTAACTAAGTAGGATATATAAAATTCTCTAGCTTGTTCATAAACACCAAAAAATATAAACCCACCCATAGTAAAACCAGTTACTCTCGGGAGAAAACCAGCAAACAACCTAAAAAAAAACATTAAATATATATAAGAAAGGAACTACGAGCCAATATATTTGTTACAACATTCAAGATGATCTCATGATAGGTTGAAACGTTTTATTATATTTGTGATTAAATTTTGTCAGTAAATTTCTACGTTTGTTTATAATTATCTTGAATATTGTAATAAATATATTATATTGGCTCGTAGCTCCTTTCTTATATGTATTGAATTTTAATCATTTGAGTTTTCTTATAATTTTAATTCTAAAATTATAAGAAACATTATTCTTACAACTTCAGAAACAGATTTCGATTGAAAAAAATATATTTTATACACAACCCTCACCCTTTAAAACCGTAGTGTCTATAAACCTCTTTCAACATTGTCGATATTTTAACTTCCTCTTTTTCTGCAGATGTACTAGATAACATAATTCTGGTCTTTGCAACATCTAATGGCGTCGTTATGGCGGCTGATATAGCAACTGAAAAATAAAAAAAAAATTAAAAATCTCATATAAGTAAGATTATTGTTCTAAAATTATTTTACTAAGTACTAGATTTATTACCTGACGCAGCTCCGCAAGTGGCACCTTCCAGGGGTGTGCATTCCCGTTCTATTTGTTGGGTCCAATAAAGCTTGAAATATTCCCATAATGGCATTTGAATCACACCAAATGGCAAATCCCGAAGGACAGTGCTTCCATAACCGCGATATAATGTTCTTAATTTCAGTCGATGCGTATCAGACAAAAGCGCTTGTTTCCTTTGTTTAATTACCTCGACTGGTACTCGAACCAAGCAGGCAGTCTGCACAAGTGAATCAAATTTTATTATATTTTCGATATTTATAAAATATGATTTGTACGAGATGATTTTGAAATATTGTAAAATATTCTAAGGAATGACTCCTTATATTAATTCAAGATGAAAATTTCATATGATCATTTATTTAACTGTAAAATGATCTTAAATATAAGAACAATCTATGAATAATTTGAATATCAGTCTTAGTGCAGTGACAAATAGATCTATAAAACATTTGATGCTTTCCATTTAATGACAAAACGACGTTTCTATCTTTGTTATTGAATATTAAGAAAGATAAAATGTTTATGTTGATTTGTATCGCTAAATAGAAAGCATTAAATGACCATTATTGAATGCAATTACTTACTATTTCAGAAGATGATGCTGCGATCATGTGAATGATGGAATGATACTGATTTGGTACATATGGTTGCGAATATTGTTTTATTCCTTCATAAGTAATAAAAAATATAGCAGCTGTAATATTAATATTTTCATTAATATTACAGGAAAAATATTTTTTTTATATAACTGTGTTTTATTTCAATATTAAATTATACCTGACGGAGCTGAACCTAGTACTACAGGCCCTATGCCTTTGTACAGGTACCTGAAACCGCCGGATTGGAAAAATCCATGTTGACTTTGCAAACGCGTTTTCAGGGTATCCAATGGGAAAAGTGTCACGTCACAAACGACTCCTGCAAGAGCACCTGACTAACATGAAGCAACAATCATTTTCTAATAAAATTATATTGATGTCTATTAAAATCTATTGACAATATTTTAATATTTTAACTAGGTTACTTTAAGTAAAAGTTTCTGTATTTGTCAGTAATGATTTATTTGATAAAAGAATTTCATTAAATATTTAAGACATCAAAGAAACAATAAATGATAAATTATATTAAATTATATTTAAAAAATAAAATAATATACTAAAATAATTTATTAACCTTATATTAGTCAAAATTAGTTTTTTACGTTCGAAATATTAATAACAAGCAATCTATTGATGATGTAGAAATGATTTATAAGAAAATAAAACGCAACTATTTACGGTCATTTATGAAAATCAATTTGTAAATAACAGTAGGCATGTGGAATAAATCAATAAAATTTAACGCCTGATAAATAATCGATATGAGATTGATGAGGAAAACATGAACTATAATTAGCCGGTGAATTATAAATGGAATATGTTGTTTATATAAACAATATCAGAAATTCTCAAAAAATTACAAAAAAACTTAGAAAAGATAACAAGTGACAAGTATAAAAAATAATATAGTTAGATAACTCGCACGTGATAAGTTTAATAATCAGCCGGTAACCATGGACGAAATGACACTTACGATAAATGATGTAAATAAGATATCTCTCTTCGAAAGATTCGGTGCGGACTCTTTTTGTTCGTGAAACATTTCCTTATCACGTTATGCTCCGTCTCGACGTTAGGTCCGATTAATGAGAAGATTTCAAGAAACGTCATCGAGCTGATAAGTAGGAAAAGTGGTTCTCTGATCAAAAGATTACCTTATATCACGTGCCAGATCTTTCGGCAGAAAAAGTATTCACACAATCATTGACGAGGACAACAATTATTATCGAATACTGAATATTTTGGATCATGTATGTTTGCCAAAACTTGTACCATTCATGATGAATCGACATATGATGTAAATGATGCAAGCCGAGGAAACACGTGTTCTGTATCGGCCATATACATTATCATACAATACATAAGTAAGCATATTGGTATATGTGAAGCCCGTCGTCTGCTTTTCAGAGTCGGACTTAACCTAATCTTTCCAACAATTCGCGGGAAAATTGGAGTAAAGTCTGTGACACACGATACTTGTTTTCCTACCGCTGAATTGCTAGCTGGATTAGAATCTCGCCATCGTATTGGCTGCGATTCTGCCAGTACGATTCTAATCTAGCAAGGAAACAAGCATCGTGTGCCGCAGGCTTAATATACTTTCAAATAAAATAAAATAAAACTTTAAGGGATACCGCACAATAAAAGGAACAGGGAACAGAAAATAAAGGCTGTGGTCAAAGTCTCGCTTTGAAGCATTTGATGGACTAATTAGCAGAAAGAATTTTACAAACTGACCAGTTAAAAAACGCTTCAAAACGTTTGCAGCATCGCGTTGACTGTACCCAAGAGAATAAGAATTTCAACCTATTAGAAATCATGTATTGTGAAATATACAGTTCTGATAGGTTGAAATGCTTATGCTCTGTTCCCTGTTTCCTGTTCCTTTTATTATGCGAAGCATAACAGTGTCTTTCGGTACATCGTCCATTTTTCAAAGCTGGAAGATGATAAATCGATATTTGATTCATAATATCGTGTTGCGATATTATGAATCAAATGATATAGCACGTGTGTGGATATATCCATGCATGTTCGTTTTTGTAATATATTGAGTCATCTAAAAAGTATCCACGGTTTTTTGTCACTAGGTGTTGATGGTCAATACATCTAGTGACAAAAAACCGCGGATACTTTTAAGATGATCCAATATATAAATCTCTTGAATTACAAAATAGCGACTTTTCCCAAATGAAAATAACAATAAAAACGTCAAATGATTTTTAATCGATTTCATTCATAAGGGTCGGTTGTTCCACTTTTTGGTAAATTTTACCTGTGAGATAAATCTTAGTAATCTGCGTATGTAATTCGGTAATCTTGCTTCTTATCCAACAGGTAAAATTTACCAAAAGGTGGAACAATCGGCTCTAAAACACATTAAATAAAATCGCTGTCTACTAACTTGACGAATGATAAAATTTGTTAATAACAAGAAAAATACTATTAACTATTACCAAATGTTTAAATACTTTTCCTGAATTTCCCCAAACGATTCTCAAATTATGTAGACATAAATAAATTAAAAATATTCAATTTGTCTGCTATCTTGTCAGTGATCTGTAAATCCTTTTTATGGATTTCAGGGAATCGATTCTGTATTTTGAAACGAGGTGAAAATTACAAAAGTGAGCGAATTTACTAGAACACTGATAATTTAATTGGTCAACACCTAGTAAATTTGCTCACTTTTATAATTTTCACCTTGTTTGAGGATACAGAATCGACTCTCAGTTGTCGTTGGCAACAATTGTGATCACGTAATCCTTTTGACGTTAGAAAATAAACGTTTCAGCGTCGCATGAAAAGGCACGCTATGGCAGCAATTCGTTGCTATTGATTAAAAATTTTATATGAGATGATGCACTTCCAATGCAAAATATTGGGTCATCTAAAAAGTATCCGCGGTACTTTGTCACTAGATATATGACCATCAACACACATCTAGTGACAAAAAACCGCGGATACTTTTTAGATTACCCAATATATTTTGCCGCATCTCATTGAAGTTCAATCGAATGAGCAACGAAAGAATTCGAACAGCAAAGAATTTGATGTCGAGAAAGTCTGCAATATTTGCAAAAAATGTGAAAATTGATAATACAATGAGTATATTTTTATTAAGATTTGAAGTGATGGGGATATTCTAAATTCTAAATAATTACTTGAAATAGTAATTGTCCAAATTGTAATTGAACTAACCAATTACCATATAATCACAAGTTTTTATCTTTTTAAGTTTTCCATATTAATTTTCGAGCTGAGCAAATAAAAGACACATATTTGAATTTAAACTTTATACATATGCTGTTGCCATTATTCCTTTTCATGCGTAGGAAGTGCAGAAGTAATTTTGAAAAATTTGTATCACGTGACATTTTTGCTGCCGCAGCGTGCTGCGCATGAAAAGGCACCTTAATATTTCATATAAGATACAATATAAGAGCTGCGTTCGGTAATGCAAATCTGAGACATCGGATATTGCTCTTATATTATAGTAGTATAGTAGTATAGTATATGTCACGTATACTATAGAAAAAGAGCACTCCTGCGCCTCAGATTTGTATTGCCGAACGCAGCTCTTGTATATATTTCCATCATGGTATGGTATAGTCACAGTAACGCAACTCAATGGCTGCGATGAAATGCTTCAAATGCTTCGAAGCATATGATAGACCAATTAGAAGAAAGAATTTTACAAACTGACTAGTTAAAAAACGCTTCAAAGCGTTTGCAGCATCGCGTTGACCGTATCCTCTGTTGGCATCTTTGATGTTAGTGTTGATCAAAATGGAGTGCGCATGCGTGAAATAAGTAAGTTACCTACCGTTGCCATAGTTATCATCTAAACTTCTTTTTTTTTCATTCTTTTTTCGCTCGTCAAAATTCCTCGAAAAACTCACTAGATTTATTCGCATCGTATTCCAACGAATGCGTTGAAGTGAATAAGAGCTATTATAGGAATATATTGGAGTATATTAGAGCATGCAATGTGAATAAACTTACTTGCAATGAAATAATTTAAACTTTATGAAAATTAAAAATAAATTGTAAATATATTGAAAAATAAAGAAAAAAATATAGAAAAATTAGGAAAAATATTAAATTAACTTAAAAATGTATATTTGTATAAAGAATTACGTAATTATATAACTATGAAAATATTATGAGAAAGCTGATATAAAAGAAATTTATATCCAAAAAATAAATTTAAAATACAATAAATAAAAAGAAATCTTTCATACTCGATTTTCTATGTTACTTTTGTTTATTTTTTTACTTTATCATTTTTTCACAAAAATTAGACCAAACTTTCGAGATTTCTCACACAATATTTCATCAAATAGACAATACACGTAACACTTCCTTCTAAATTTCTACTCTGAACCATGTATACTTGAAAAACAAATGCTTAAGTAGAACACTGAAACGCTTATTTAAATAGAAAGAGAGAGAGAGAGAGAGAGAGTTATAAAAAAAGGAGCAAAAGAGACGTGGCAACTTACTTATTTCCCGCATGCGCACTCCATTTTGACCAATATAAAATCAAGAGAGTTGCACTACTGTATATACTGTGGTACAGTGTGATAGATCAACTTCGAACAGTTCGGAGAGGATCAAAAGATCACCATCGGATCTAGACGATAATGCAATGCAATGGAGTCTGTCTGATACTTCCAAGGATCCACGGGAATACCAAAGTGAGATCTTACGACGTCTAATGATAAAGCCGGAGTTATCTATCGTTAGATGAATAATTGATAAGACCGATGTGATGACGTCGGTGTTCCCCTCATTGACATGTGAAAACGATATTCGAGGATGATAGGATATCCAACAACGAGCACATGATATCACGTAGCTGTCGTAGCGCGGCGGGAAACGCGCATGTTTGTTGACAAAGCACGAAGAAAGAAAGAGAAGGAAATATAACAGAGATAGTTTAGTTTGATATCCACATTTCCTATAAAATCTAGACTATGGGCCTATCTGGATACAGTTCAAGAAGACAACACCAAGCCTGAGAAGTAATAGCGTAAGAAGTTAGCAAACGCATCTTGCTTTATGCCTGTCTATTACAAAAAAAGAAATTACTAATTTTATTAATACTTGACATAAGATATAAATATGTGCCACACAATGCGAGGAGCTTTATAAAGTTAGCGTAATTAACTGATGGCTTAACAACAATTAACTGAGCTTTTTCTAATACAATGCATGAGAATAATGATACAAATGATGCGAGAGAATACAACGCAACAGATGCCACCGAGTCTATTTTGTACACTGTACTGGTGAATGATCTTGCGACAGATTCCACAAGCATGCCAAGTACAATCTACAATGACAATGTGTCCACGACGGCGTACGTAGAGTTGCCGCAAGACAGCGAGAATAATCAACGATTGTGGAATATATCCAAAACCGCGATAACTTCATTATCCGAACCTACAGCGATATCATTTAACACTTCAAGAAGCACTATGATATACACACCGACAACCGAATCGTTCGATGAATTTGGTCCGCCAGAAGGAGTAGAATATATTTTTGTACCACTCGGTGTAGTGGTTTCTGTTATTATACTATCAGCTGTGGTATGGGTAGCGATATCACTTTTGTCATTACCTTGTGACGTTTTCCCCCTGCCCTGTTTTTATTTTTGCACACAACATTATGCAAGTATCAATACAATGTGTGATGTATCTATCATTCTATGTTTTAATATTTATATTGTAATATATACAATCTTATTGTTTTATAAAAATTACAGATAAATGTGATACGATCATACAAATCTTGGCATATGTTTTTTTTTCAGCAAAATTTTATATCCTGCTTTTCTTGCTAGGTATAATTAAGATTTCTCGAACTTTAATATCTAATTTGGTTTTTAAAGGTATTGATTATATCGAGAAAACGCAAGTTGGAACGTTTAAGACACAGACTCATGCCAATGTACAACTTTGATCCTGGAGAAGAAGAGGAGGATGATTGGGAGACCGAACTGTTGGACGAGTGCTATAATACACATCAGAGACGAGTGTGTAAGATTGTTTTCGCTCATGATTTGCGCAAGTGCTTTAAAAATAAGAATCATTGTTGATTTTACAGCAAGGATACCAATCCATGGATACTGAAGAAAATGCAGAGCTATTCAGTGGTCACTAGTAGTATATTTTTGCATAGCATTTATATCATTTTTTCATTAAGCTATAACTATCATAAGCTAAAGACATTTCTTTATTGTAATTTTTATATACACATCGTTATTAAGCATACCGGAATTTACAACTTTAGCTAAAAACTATATTTTTTCTTATACAGATTCTTAAAGACCAAAGTTTTATAAAAATAACATATTTATTAGAAATATATTTGATAATTCCAATTTTCAACTTCTTTTTATAGCCTAATGTCATCTAAATTATACACGAAAATAAATTTTAAATTGTTTTATTATAATTGAATATTATACGTGCACACACAAGTTTCAAAAAATCAGTCAATTAATATGTATATAATACATATATAGACATATATTGATTTTTACGTAATTAATTTCATAACAAAATACAAATATGAAATTTTTCATAACTTTATTATTTATACAATTCATTTTAATCATATTCATATCTTCCTATTTTTCTTAAAGATTATTCTTTCCTCATTCAAAATAACTGGTTATTTTATTTCCCTATATTATTCTTTTCCCTTTGATAATTTTAAAAAATAATGCTTCTATCGTTTAACGAAACGATTATAAGTTATGCTATTGTTTTGTATATTGTCACAACTTCGCGATAAAGTGTAGAATTTTTAATCAAAATCTTAAAAATCGGGGAAAATATAAATGCAAAATTAATAAGAGTACTTTGAGTTTATTTACTTTAATACAAATTTGACATTCACACATATGCTTGCCTCAAAAACGACAGTAATATACATTAAGAAAGTGTACTTATTAATGTTAATTAGAAAAGAATAGTCCCTGCATATGTTACATACAAGAAGTTTCTTTTTCGTGTTTACCTTTCTCTATCTCTTACAATATAAGATCAGTATGGAATTCTTTTTTTTTTTGGCTTCATGAATCGCGTAATATGCATATGAAGGAGAAAAGGAGGTAGCAAACATGTGACACAATATTCTCTATACTGCGAAAGTTTTCTTTAATTAGAAAAAAAGTTTATCAAACCTCACTTCTCGGGCAAATTAAAAAAGTTTCGAGATCGGCATCGTAATCCAGTCTTTTACTGTTAAAGAAGGTTACATGTACGTAGTCTTAGTACTTAAAAGTATGATTTTCATTTATCATTTAATAGTAGTGATGTCAAGTAAATATAAAGAACTTAATAAATTTGTAACACAACTTTTGTATCCGACGTTTCTTAATAGTAACGTGAATTCATCATCATCAACGTGTGGCAATGTGCACTGTGAACTAGAGTGTTTCTGAGAAAACTCGAGTATCAGGACAGTGTTCACCGCTTCGACACTCGCTCGAGAGTTAAATCAGGTTAAAATAAATGAAAAGTAAACCTTAAAATGAATCAATTCAATACGACGTTCTATTTAAAGGTCTTCGAAGGATAAGTCAGCTGTGTTAGTTTCGTCCTCCTCTATTGCATCTGTGGATGCTTCAATTCTCTTCTTCCTCCTCCTCTTCTTCTTGCTCGTCTTCATCTTCACCAGTAAGTTCGGGTTTCTCTTCTGTCTTTTTCGGTCTACCGCGACCACGTGACGAAGTAGTTGTGCCTTTTGGTGGTCCTTGCTGTAAGTTCAATAATTTTCTTGTGAAAATAGATGATTAAAATTAATTATACAGACAATAATATTAGTAGTTGGTGGCTTAACAAATATTTCTGTCTTAATTCTTCTTACCTTCTTCTTGTGGGAGCCCTTAGGTCTACCCCTTCCCTTTTTAACAGGTCCAGGTGGTGCATCATCCTCGTTGTCAGATTTTGCAGGGCGTACTGCATTATTCTTTTCTGCAGCAGGTCTACCCCTCTTTTTGGGCTCCTTAACAGCGTTCTTATCTGCCTTAGCTGGCCTGCCTCTCTTCTTTTTTTGCTCTTCTACCACAGGGGAATTGTCGTCTGACATATTTATTGTCCTGTTTCACTGTAAAAGCAAAAATCAATATCGATTATTTCTCTTAATCGCCTTGTCTCTTTTTCAGATTGTATCTCTCCGATAAGATGAATGAAGAGCACCAACTAATACAAGGAGTTCTCAGTTATTTGTGTATACATGTGTATATGCTGTGCGGCTAGTGTGAAAATAATTACTTGCTATACTAATAATTATTTAACATTGCCCATCAAATGAATTCCTTGTGAATATATCCTTTGTACTCGCGGCTAATCCTTTAACTCGCAAAATCTCTTAGTGCCATATATTAGTAAAATAAATAAATAAACGTGGTAAAACAAATATTTATCTATCAAAATATGTATCTACATGTAGAACATAAATGTGTATCTTTTCAGAAGAATGTATTAACCTTACATAGACAGATAAAACCGATAACGAGTTCGTGCCTATCGCTGTTGTTGAACAGAGCTCAGATACATTGAGGTTCTCGAATCTCAGGAGAGAAAAAAAAGGGTAAAAATAAAAGAACGAGTGTGACTATCGATCTTTCAATATTTTCCTCCCGTTGTCTCGCGCGCTTAAAGGAGCATTGGAGATCGCGACGAGAGAGAAAAAGTGAAAGAGAAAGAGAGAGAGAGAGAAAGCAGAGTGCGCAAACGCGCTGCGAAAATCAGTACTATCAATTACGCGCCTCGCAAGTTTACGAGAAGAGATACGCGGTGCGCGATGTGCAATTTGCGTCGCAAAACGCCTCTTTGGCGCGGCGCGATATGGCGCGCGGCTTTCGGCGCGATCGAAAACAATTCCTTCGCGGGTTTCAATAATTTACTCTTATATTGCGACTCAAGCAAAATCTCACGTTCTTTATTCCGCGGTAACTACGTCGTCAAATATCGTCGCAATTGGCTGAAAGTCGCGTTCGCAGGCTAACGGCGTCTGTCTTCTTCTTACTCCGAAAGTTTCATGCCCGCCATTTTCAAAATTTGCAAACGGATCGCGTCGAGTCCCGACGGGGACGCCGCGTCGGTTCGATATCGGAGGAAGGAACGAGCAAAATCGCTATTATCATTTTTTTTATCCTTGAATTTTACACGACGGCGACAAGTCTCGTCGCCTCGCGACGAGGAAATAACCGTACGGACGACGGGACACGGCCGCGTCGACTCGGGGAGACGCCATGAGAGAGAGAGAGGCGCGATATCATGGCGTCCACGAGTCGTGTGTGCCTCCGCGGCGGCGGCAGCGGCGGCGGCGTCGTCTATCCGCGCCGTTGAGAGACCGCGTCGAAACCGCCGTGCCGATAATCTCTGCAAGTAACTGCGCCACGGTAACGAGGAGCGCGGCGAAAAATCCGTCACAAGCCCGGCGAATTATCAGACACGCTTGGACGGCGCGGTCGCGCGCGCTTACCGTCGAAATAAATAATATCCGCCTCACGGTTAACGGCCGTTTTGGAATAAACGACATCGGAGGAATTGGGAAATGAGCGTGGTTCACATAAATGAGTAAACGACAACGACCGTTGAACGCGCGCGCACGCAGGCACACACGCCCGCCCGCACCAACTCGCGCACTCCACTCACCTCACCGCTCGGTACAGATGAAGAAAATTTGATCTCGCGTATGTCGGACCACGTACTCCTGCTCCGCGGAGAACAAAGGTTTCCCGTTGCCGGTCGGCAGCGCGGCGCGCGTAGTGGCGTGGCGGCGGGTAGGTGATGTCTCGCGCCTCGCGGTCACGTCGCTTCGTGTTGTATCGTATCGTATCGTATCACGAGACGCCGTGCGGCTCTTCGACAAACGCACTCTCGTCAGTCTCGTCTCTCGGCCGCGGACTCGCGTTCGCTCGCTCGCTCGCTCGCTCGATCACTCGCGTTTGCCCGCGTCGTGTGGTGCACTCGGCACGCTCTCGGCTCTCGTTCGCTTCGCTGCCGTACCGCCGTGTATTAACAGGCGCCGCTGTGCCCGCGCACTCTACACACAATCACGGACACGGGATACCAACGTGCGCGCGCGCGCGCTCGCTCGTTCTCACGCACACTCTCGACTCTCGTATACGTGTTCCGCTACCGCCCCGCCGCGCCGCGCCGCGCCGCGCCGCAGACGTAACGCAGCCTCCACTCCTCTGTCCTCTCTCGTCTCGTCTCGTCTCGCGATCTCGCGCGCGCTCTTCGGCCCTTGGTGGCGGCGAGCCGAGCCGAGCCGGCCGGCGGCGGTAAGCGGTTGGCGATCCGGCTTCCAAAAACGAACGACCTGTCGCATCAACGTACCCGAGTCGTCATCGTCGACGTACAGTACAACTAGCGATACAAAACACACGCATACACGTAAATGCGACGTATGTATATACGAAGTCAACTGCCAACTTACCGAGAGAATACCAAGCCACAACTGACCGACGACGATACACTGCGACGCGATTCGTCGAGCTGCAATTCGCAAGCCGAGGACCTCTCTCCCTCCCCCGCCAGTCCCCGATCCGTGAGCGCGTCAACGAATTCCCGCCAAAAGATCGCCCCGCGCGCGCGGTGGTGGTAGCGGTGGCAGGCTGGCAGCATCGGGAAAAAATCGCCCATTCGTTCGTTCGTACTTGGTGTGCCGCGCTAAAGGCTCGCAACGCGGCGCCCCGAGTCACGACGATTCTCTCGGTTTGCTCGCCTCCTCCCTTCCTTATTCGATTCCTTTTTTTTTTCCTCCCTCTTCTTCCTTACCTTGACGTCGCCGCGGCAGCAGCGACGGTGACGGCGGCGGGATCCCTCGCCTCGCTTCGGGAATTTCGCGCGCGCGATCGGCGCGATTTGGCGCGAACGGTTACAATGGCGGGCGACTAACGACTTTATCGTATCCGCGTCCATTGGACGCGTTTCGGGAGAGCGCCAGAACGGAGGAGGACGATTTGCGTTTCTCTTCTTGGGGCGGATGCTATGTAAAAATTTCGTTAATGACGATGGAAATTGGAGAGAATTGCGCGGAATGAGCATTAATATTAATAACGACCTGCGCCGCGTGGATCGATACATATATACGTGTGTGTCTGTGCATAGGATTATGCAAAGGAAAAAAATCGCATATGCACGACGAACGTCGAATAGTTACGAGCCGGTTGTAAGCGCTGGAGGACATTGACCTCGCCGATTCTCCCGACTGTGTTTTCGACGACTTGAGCTTCCACGTCGATACATGGATGAAATAATTTCACCCCCGAATCAATAGTCGGATTTATTATAAGCATTCCAGGTAGAAACGCATAATCAGGCTTTTACGGATTTTATGAATAATCTTATATTTATGAATTTTATCAAGTACGATCTTAAGACTGTAGTCTTTGAAATGTATTAAAATCTTAAGGTTTTAAAATTAAAATGAACTGTATAGCCAATATTCATAGTCGATTCTTATTTCAAGACCATTTAAGACCGTCCAAAGACCGGTAATATCTAAAGATGCTAATGCGACTTATGGTTGATTTATGACATCTTAAGATTGTACATAAGACGGTCTTAAATGTAAGAATCGGCTATGAATACCGGCCATAATGATATACCATAGGATGTCATCATGACTTCATTTGTCATTTATGTAAGTGACAAATAAAGTCATAATAATGTCCTTATATTATAAATTATGACTTCTATTCTAGGAAATCCTATCCTGAAATTGTTATGAGTTGCTACGCTTTGCAAACGATTATGTAAACATTCTATTATTCCGATTTGAATATCTTTCAACGGTCGTTCGACGTTGCCGCATTTATTCGTTCGAATCTGTTTTCCCTTCTATTTATCTTTGCGAGTCGTGAATGTTGTGGTTTGATGAGCGATCATCGACTCGCCTGAGTGTCCCAGACAAACAAAAACAAGCACATTGAACATCTGTTGACATTTTAATTCAACTTTGAAAATAAAGGCAGATTGTTCTTGATCACATTCCTCTTATTAAATGTCCTCTCCCATAAACAGAGTCTCGTATCTTTATGAAAGAAACATAAGAGATGACACATTGTAAAAGCAAAACAACTGTAGAAGAATAAACAAATCTATAAAGTCCGAGTGTTCATAATATCATTTATTTAACAATAAGATAAAATAGTCTAATCAACATAAATGAGCACCCAAACAGTTATGGCGTCTGATCTGGCAAACTAACGATCAACAGTATTCAGGAAATGAAGAAAAAAGTTAAATAAAAGGACAAGATTCCTTTCATACAATGAGAAATTTATGTATAACGTATTCTATTAATTCGTCTAACATAATGCTGCAAGTATGATGATTCTGATCGCACGCGTCTTCTATACCTTCATTTGTTAACCTTTGATACTGATTTATTCTTTCAAACGCAACGTGTGCAGAGCGTCTGTTTTCCTTTCGCAGGAAATGCAAAAAGGAGCACGGAAAACGCACGCCTGAAGTGTAAATGGATCGCATATTATCGATCCGGCGCTCCTCGACGTGACGTAAAGACGAATGAAAGAACGAGCCTGTAATTAAAAATAGGTTTCGTTTCTTTCAAGGTTAGTTGACGTTCTTCGTTTTGCCGGTGTTATCCCTTTCAAGCAACGACGAGCGGATCGATCGCGATGCGAATCTCTCGCTATGGATTAAGCATGAGGTAATTATGCACAGTGTGCTCTATTCAGTAACTCTGTGGAAATTCCCTAAAAGGGAATTTCTAAAGATCATTTTTACAACAATATTAAATTTAAAATTATTTTAAGTGCAATGTTGAAATACTTTAATGATTGCGTTTAGCAGAAAAAGTAGTTTTGCAACTGTTGTAAAATTCTTTAATTTGATTGGTCTTGCTCTTAGTTCCTCACTAGATCTAAATGTACGTATAAACCAATCATATTCAAGAATTATATGTTATAAAGCTGCTTTTTCTGCCGAACGCAACTATTAATAATTTTATTGGTTAAATTAAATTTTAAAAAATTTTATAGAACAATTAAAATTTAATTGGTTGATATTCATAGTTGATTCTTGTATTTGGGATAATTTTAACTTATAGTCTTATTAACTCTTTAAAGCATACATTTTTCTGTAGAATTCAGTTGAAATTTGTTACTCGTTTTCGTGATCACTAATTACGAATCTGGCCTCAGATTTTTAAAATTTAAAATGGCAGAGCCAATATGGTGGATAAAAATGTGAAAAATTTCTTGATTTTAATGGAACTTGTTATTCGGTTTTCGGGGTTGTTGATTACGAATTTGATATCAGATATTAGAAATTTAAAATGGCGGATCCAAGATGGCGAACAGAAAATTAGTTTTGGGCTGTAAAATGGGATCAAGTAGAGTTTTTGAGTCGCTAATTGCGAATTAGAAATTAAAATTAAAAAGTTAAAATTAAAATTAAAATTACTATTGGATCCGTCATTTTGAATTTTAAAAATCTGAGGCTAGATTCGTAATCAGCGTTCCCGAAAACCCTCGAGTAACAAATTTCATTGGAATCAAGCAATTTTTCACTTTTATGTCCGCTATTTTAGATCCGCCATTTTGAATTTTTTAATTTTGCCTTCAGATCCATAATCAGCGATCCGAAAAACCTCTCATCAGACTTCATTTTCTAATTAGCTATTGTTGATTAGTCACATTTATATATATATTGTTAAAAAAGGATGAATTTTTCTAGTTTGTTTATTTATAAAATACATTTCGTTAACAATAGGAATGTTTCCACGGTTTTTTTTATAACAATTGATGTTCTAAACACTGATAATGTTCTTTTCACTATAGTAATATGTTAGAAATTGTATGAAAAACATAAAAAACTGTGGTTAAAAAGATGTCACATATGTGGGACACTGTGCTTCAAAGAGTTAAGATGTCATAAACCAATCAGAGAGTAATATTAACATTTTAAGCCTTGTGTCTACGATGTTAGAAATTGATTTGAGATCGGATAAAGAAAGAATTGACCAATCGCATTAGTCATATGAAATTGTTCAAATGTGATTTGTTAATTTTCTTTCTCTCTGTTCAAAATCTCGGTTTCTAGCATTGTGAATGCAAAACTTTAGGACATTGTTTAGGATAGACTTGATAAAATAAGAACCGACTTATAAATATTGACCTATACATACCAGCCTAAGATTCCATTCAGCCAATGAATAACCAAACAATGTTTTGAGATAGTTTCAAATTCAATTATAGATAGTTTTATTAAGATCATTTAGTTAATGAAATGATGGTATAAAGCTCCAGCCACAAAGAATATTATTCGTTATATATAACGTATTTTTATAACTTATGTTTATGATGTCAAAGATAATATAAATTTATGTTAATGACAGTATTAAATGTAAATATGTATGTACTATATTATGTTTTAAGTAGTCTTAAATAATATATTTGATTTTAGAAGAGATATTAATGTAAAACATCAATCACAAGAAAGAAGAAATAGCGATAGCGATAGAAGTAACACGATTTAAACCTATCAAAAATCAGATACACTGGAATATATAGTTTTCTGATTGAATCGTGTTATTTATATATGTCTATTATTAGTAATATGGTAATTGCTCCGGCGAGTGCTAGAAGAGAAAGAAGAAGTAGAATGGCGGTAATTAAAATTGATCAAACTAATAGTGGGATTTTATCTAGAGATATAATTTTTTGATGTATATTTAAAATTGTAGAGATAAAATTAATTGCTTTCATTATAGAAGATATTCCTGCAATATAGAGAGAAAAAATTATAATTAAATCAATTGAAGGGCCCTTATGGAAAATATTAGATATAAGTGGGAGATAAAGGGTTCATCCCGCCCCAGTACCTGAATAAAATTTCTTAAAATAAAAAATGTTAAAGAAGGGGGTAGTAGTCAAAATCTTATATTATTTAAACGTGAATATGCTATGTCAGATGATCCTAGTATTAAGGGAATTAAAAAGTTTCCCAAATCTTCATTCACCATTTTTCGACTGTTTGCATCATTCACGATTTTCGAGAAATCTATCCAGTTTGAGGTGACCAATTTTCATTTTCTTTTTTGGGATACAATTGATCACGTTTACCCCGATCACGGGAATCAGGGTCAACTAATAACGAAGAAGAAGAAGCATAATGTGTATTGTGATAATTTAAATTTTATTGCGATATCTTCGTTTTCGAGTAGTACGAATAAATACATAAATAAAACGTAATAAAAACGTAAATATTAAATTAATAGATATAGTTTAATATTTAATACGCATTCGGTATTAGAGATTTATGTTCCTTTGAATCTTACTTGTCAGAATGCAAAAGGAACGCGCATTCAACTGAGTTATAAGTCATAAGTGAGAATTATCCGAGAATCGGTGTAAATGGAAAGCAACTAGTATTTCATCGATATCATTATTCACAGCTAGCTTGTGAATGTAACACCAAATCCATTTATTAACGATTTATTAATGAATCCACGATTTTATCGATAGAAGTCTAGTTTCCACCGAGGGTTTAATTCCGGATCAGAATGTAAGAACCAATCAACTACGGTCGAGCATTCCCTTGTCGTTTAATTGTAACAGGGGAATACTCGACTGTAGTTGGTTCTTACATTCTGATCCGGATTAAACCCTCGATAGAAACTAGAGCTGTGGTCAAAGTCTCGCTATAATGCTTTGGAGCGTTTGATGGACCAATTAAAAGAAAGAATTTTATAACTGACCAATTAAAAAAAATGCTTCAAAGTTTGCAACATCGCATTGACCACATCCTAGGCCGATGGTCGAAAATGTGAGACGACACGTACTTCACATCATTTTAAAAAAATGATGTTGGTGCCGCTAGCGTACGATGGCTTTCGTCTATCACGCGAAAAAAGGCCGCCATGGCTTTTCTCAGGTTTCTCTGTTAAAGGCATAAATGTATCGACGTCAAACGCATAATGAAAATTATTGATGTAAATTGTAAATTATACTGTCTGCTTGTTTGTATTCAGTGAAACGCTTGAGAGGAAGAGAGAGAGAGAAAGTGGTAAGACGTGACGTTGGCGAGGTTATATCGAATTCTCTATTTGATATTTACACAGTGTTATTTTATTATATTTACATGGTGATATGAAAATAAATAGTCGAAACGAAATGACGTCCACTACAGTACAGAGAAATACGACGACAATATGGCGCTTTTAGAAGGACGCTTTTTGACTGACGACTGTCATTAACTTCGATCAGGCAGGCATGTTCAGGTACTTTTGGGCTCTGGTGTGCTGGTACTTCAGGCCCTTGATAAAATGGTTCTTGCACCATACCACGCAGATGTGCGAACTGCAGAGAATCTGTTATGGACAGCCATCCGGAGCACCACGCGCTTTTGCAGTCGAGGAAACTCTCGAACAATCGCGCAATGCAAATATTAGAACCCTTGTAGCTTACTTGAATGACATTGCTGATCACCGAAGGATAACGACGAAAACGGAGCGCAAGATTCTGGAGGATGCCATCAGAACCGTACTGGTGACGAAAAAAATCAATCCCACAGCACATCCAGATTTTGCCAAGATGTTTGGTAAATGCGTGGAACTGATCTGGGGCTACCGTCAGCTCTGTGTGGAGTGTGAAGAGCTTAGAAAGACGCCGTATAGTGCGGATAATCTGGAACACGAGCAGAAGCTACTAAAGTTATGGAATTTACTAATGCCATATGAGCCCTTGGATACAAGAGTAACTAAACAATGGCAGGAGATTGGCTTCCAAGGGGATGATCCTAAGACAGACTTTCGTGGGATGGGAATCCTAGGATTAGAGAATCTCGTTTACTTTGCTCAAGAGTATCCTGGCATGGCTATGCATGTATTGTCCCATTCAAATCATCCACGTTATGGATATGCATTTGCTATAGTTGGTATAAATCTCACAAGCATGGCTCTAAAGTTGTTAAGAGACGGTAGTGCTAAGACTCATATATATAATTCCTCGAAGACCTTGCCGACGATTCGTGCCTTTCATCAGTTTTATTGTTATCTATTTTATGAATTTGATGGGTTTTGGATCGAGTCCAAACCTAGTAATATGATGGAATTCTCATCGATACAAGAAAAATTTGAGA